CCCACCCCCCCCCCCACACTTAATTTATGATTACCTTTATCACAGATGGTCTTAGCCATCCTGGAATGCTAACCCCTGAAGTTACTGAAGAAGCCAGCTGTGCAATGAGGTAGGTTAAGGTGTTCGAGAGGTAGTTGAGAGGGGAGGGGGGGCATTTCATGTGGAAAAGAAATGAAAAAGTGTAAATGAAAATTACTGTCATATCAAATTTTCTACTTAAGAATTCTTACAATTTTAAGTTGTTATTTTACTCGTAAAACATCTAATTGCGTTGTCTTTTTACTATAATTTATTTAATTATTTGATTAATTCTCAGATTCACAGACAAGTCCTTTATAAACATATTAAAGGAGACGGTTACTGAATATGATATCATTTCAGGTAATTTGTAATAATAAAAGGAACAATCTCAGAAGATTGGCATAAGGAGAGGTTCCAAATTAGTTTGTGTTTCAACATAAGGGGATTTAATTCCGTGCAATTCCACGCAATTACGCACTATTCCAAGCAATACAAGTGTATTTGGGCGCAATTCGAACGGAATTCCAATTGAATTAAATTAAATGTAACTTAAAATTTATTATGATTAATTGATCTTAACTTCTTTTTTTTCTTAAATAAAGTGATTTTATTTTACCATGTTTTATGCAATGATTTTATTTTCTAAGAAGACTGAGCACTGATCATCTCATTTATTAGAATCTGCAGAAATATTTAAACCCTCAGTTGGGCAATGGACTATGATTGGAAACTTAACTTATCCACGGTAAGTTTACTATACCACAATTTAACTATACTTAAAGTGATTCATTGTCAAGAATATCAGAAGATTTTAATTTGCATTTAAGGACGGAGCATGTTGTTGTCACTGTTACAGATGGAGTATTTGTTATTGGTGGTCCGAATAATCCTACGGGGAAGGTTGGATTTTTTTTATTTTTCAATCAAGATGGCGATGAAAATGAAAACATGAAAAAATATAAAGATTTGGCCAAAAAAAAAAAACTATTTGATTTGCAATTTAGAAACATTTTTTACTATGAATATTTTGTAAAACAGTAAAACTTTTTTCACAAAGTTAATTTTCTCTTTTTATTCTTTTTTACTTTAAGAACAACATTGAATTATCCCTATCAAAACAGAGGGTGCAGGGAGGGGGAGTCCCCTTTATTGTTATTTTTATAATAAATCTTAAGGTTCACAATGACACAGAAAGTGTATTTTCAAGCCCCTAAATGTACCTAGATCCCATTATTTGGTTCCACATTTTTCTGTGAACATTAAAAATGAGAAAAAGTTGGGAACAAGAGTTAAAAAATATAATTCACATTTCAGGTTGAAAAGCTTGACTTGAATAATTTGACCTGGATTGATACTGGACTAACATTTATCTCTAACCCTGTGAATGAAATTGGTGCAACAGCAATTCCTGTAGATATTGTTCCTCCTTAAATAAGATTTATTAGTCAAGTTAAACAGTCCAGAGCCGAGATTTAAAAGTTAAACATGAGTAAACCTGTTGGCGAATTTCTTGGTAGAAATCGATCCGGGTTTTATGAGAACAAGACTCAACATTGAGTCTTATTCTCCAATAAAACCAACCAAGGTCGGTTTTATTCTCATAGGGCCTAACTAAGTCCAGCCGAAGAGCTTGCAGCTGTCAATCACGTGACACAGGCTGTCATAGAGTTGGGTCTTAAAGTCGGGTTTCTGGTCATATCATCTGCTAAGACCCAAGTAAAGTTCAACTCGAGACTTCGGTTTTGGATGGCCTTAAGTTTATCAAAATCCAATCGTTTTTGGTTTTTGCTCTTTAAAGTTTGAGTCTTCAAAATCTGATGAACGTAAATTTCGTAAGAACCATTATATTGGACATTTAAAATCTTGGGAATTATTTGCAGTGTCAAATTTAAGCAAAGGTTTGAAATCAAACATACTATGAAAATAATGTATCTACGTAAATTTTGAATTTTCGAAAATTTTCATCTCCTAGTCACAGTGATCTGTTTACTACAGAGAGAAAGCTTTCTAAGCAGTCTCTCATTGGTCGAATCAGAACCAATCCTGACTAGAGTTCTATCCGAGTCTGAGTCCAGGTTTTATTCCGGTTTAAGCTTCTGAGGTCTCAGCTTTGAGCACAAACTTGTTCATGGAAAACATTGATTTTAAATATCTTATTTATCCCATTTAGAAGTTTTAATGTAGCTTTTATTCTCAGGAATTTTATTAATATTTATTGTAAAATTTAATTTATCCAATATTTTTAATGTTTTTTTTCTTCATAAGATTCTTGTTAATCTTAGATGTAAGCAGTTGTAATTTAGCTTGTATTTCTCAAGATTCTTATTAATCCCATTTCAGAATCTTTTTAAATTCTATTTAACCCCACTTTATAACCTTAGATGTGAATAGTTCTTTGATTTCAAATATGTCTAATTTAACTTGCATTTTCTAAAAGTTCTTATATTACCTATTTCCTAGTTAAAAAATTATATAATTTATTAATTTTGCAAATAAAGTTATTTAAGCTTGTGTTTTCTTGTTCTTATCTTTAACATGAACCATTTTACATATTAAATATTCTAGATTTCTCTCATTGTGACCTTGCCAGGATATTTTTGCATAAAACGTGTTGGATTAACTTTACACTGGGTAGTCCAGACTGTACAGTACAACTGAGTGCATATACAGTACATGTTGTACTGGCTCTGATCATGCAAATTTTAGAGTGGGTTAAAGATGCCATTTGAGTTAGGACTTAAAGGGAGTGACTGGCTATGTAAGGTAGTTGAACTGAGTATGCAGTGTTGTGGAAAGCTTCTTTCGAATTTATTTGAGACATAATAATCTTTTTAAAGATCGGTAAATCATGAGTTTGAGTGCAAATTCGATGTTTACAAACTCCTACTTTGGGGGTGGATACATTTTCAGAATTAGTTTTTTTTTAATTATTAAATAACGATGACATAAAATGTAAAAAAGTTCTACATTAAACTACAGACGTTTCTCATTATTCACAAAGTTTTTTCAGATTTTCTAGACTTATTATTGAAAAGACGACATTTAAAGAATTTGAAGAAATCTGTGAATAAATTCAAAGAAAATTATAAATCCAATATAATAATGAAAACGAAATAATCGATTTTAGCATTGATTTATTTACAAATTTCTTTTGAGAAATATGTTCCTAACCATTACTGTATAATTCTTACTTTATTTTTCGTTGTCGTTATTTAATAATTAAAAAAAAACTAATTCTTAAAACAAATCCACCCCAAAAGTAGGAGTTTTGAACGTCGAATTTGCGCTCAATCTCAGGATTTACAGATCTTTAAAAAATTTAAAATGTCTCAAATGAATCCGAAAGAAGTTTTCCACAACACTGCATACCCAGTTCAACTACCTTACATAGCTGGTCTGTCTCTTTAAAAATCCTTCTTGATCTTTGATTGCTATCCAATGATCTGAATATTTTACAAAATATAGTGTACCCCTGAAAAGATGGGTGTCCCACTAAATATGACAGTTGGTGAATAGTTTTAAATTCTTCTTCCATAATTTGTTAAGTTCTTTGATACAAAAGAGAATAGTAAGAAATTTAACATGGCAGTCATTTTATAGAAAATTGATTTCAAAGTAAAATATATTTGAGTAAAAGAGTTTGATAACGAAATAAATGGAAAAAAGTCTATAACATTTGATATAATATCATGTCATGTTGCGTGGGACACCCTGTGATAGACTCTTTTAGTTATCTCTCAACTGTTATGTTTAGAGGAAGCCTTGTTCAAGATGGCAATGCCCGATTTACAATAGTACCCTTGAAACCTTGTGTATATTTCTGTGAGTTTCTCCATTGCTTTTTTATTACTAGAAATGTGCTAGTCACTTTACCGCAAATGAAAATAAACAGTTTAAAGAAACAAAACGATTGATATCTTTTTCATACTTTACAACATTTTCAAAGGAACCTTTGTACACCGGGCATTGTCATCTTTGAATTGAGGGTCGCTTGAAATTAAGCTTAAAGTTCCTTTAAAGCTCTGGTTTTTGAAATGATTTTGATTGTTAGTATTGATCTGAGGAAGTTGAATTTAGTGATTTGCTCTGAAACATCTTTCAAGAGCTGAGGAACAAACATAGGATATTTACTATCACTGTATAAATTTTTTTTTCTGTATAGCATTCCAATGTAACATTTGTAGAAAAACTTTCAAGATTTAGTAGCTTGTTGGAGAGCCTATACTCATGAGAAGATGACTTCATTATTATTAAAGTGAATTTGCACATTTTATTCTTTTGACCTGACTTTTCTTCTTTTTTTTTGCCTATTGTAATGAAATGATAAGGGGGAAAATGAATGACTTATTGTAAGTGAGTATCAGACAAAGACACTCTGAAAGTTTTGAAGGATTGGAATGTTGGACAACTGTAAACAATTGTTAACAACTTGTGTTAGAAACCCTTTTTGTATACTTATACTTGAAAAATAGCAATTTTATTAAAATGTTGAAGGATTTTTATTAGTTTTACAGACAGGGAGGTAAATTATCTGTTCCACAGAACCTACATTTAGGAATACCGCATGCCATGCAGCCAAGTCCTCCAAACGGATCTGTGCTTGGATTTTCACATCTTTCATCATATCCTGCTCCATTACAGTCACATTTTCCAGGGATTGGTGGGGCTTCAGTTGAGGTTTGTTGTGATGTTGGCTGGTTTCCTCCAGAACAATCTGGAAAAGGTGTGTTTCCACAAAATCTGCAATTCTTCTCTCCACAAGCTGAACATCCTAAACCACCGAAGGGGTCGTTAGAAGGATCACTACATCTTGAATCATATTCAGCACTGTCACAACCACAACCAGGGTTTGGTGGTGCTGTAGTTGGTTTTGTTGTAGATGAAGGGTTAGTTTGTGTTGGTTCACTAGACTGAGTAGATGATTGTGTTGGCTGAGTTGGATGCTGTTCTGTGGTAGTTGGAAGACCTTGAGTTGTTGACCCATATTTGCAAGGAGGAAATCCATTTCCTCCGCAATATCTACAAAAATCCTTTCCACAGGCACTACAACCTATTCCCCCTCCAGCACAGCTCTCATCATACTCTGCTCCTGGGCATCCACAATCTCCAGATGGTGGAATAGTCGGCATTGTTGGTTTAAGAGCTTCTCCGGCTATTTCTCTAAACTTTACAGAACATTCTCCCATATTATTGGACCTAAGAGCACGCTGATCTATATGATCAGATCCATGGAATTTACGCGATTCTCCTGCATTTGGAAAACAAGAAATTGTTTTTCCATCTGTAACCTTTAAAGTAAAAAATATCCCTTCTTTGTCTTTGTCAACACCAAAATGTTCTGCGAGAAAAGGTTCAGAAACTTCAACAACAATGTCTTCTCCAACCCAATGCAGGCCCTCTAGTGTGTATTCCTCGCCAATAACAACATTGGCTGCATAACCTCCTCCAAGAAGTTTAGTATGGCTTGGAACATGGTTTTGATCAATTTCATAATGCAAAATACCACCATTGTTTCCTAGGACAGGGTGATTAAAGTTTGGTGCTACATCATAACCAGGTCCTTTTAGTGTCAAATCTCCCATATCTGGGGCCCAAATTGTCAACCTTCTGATTTTTACAGATTTATCACAAACATAGCCATTATAAAGTTCATTTGGACCCGAACAACCAGGAACATTTTCAAACCCATTTAAGTAATTGCTGACAACAGACTGATAACCACCTAGCGAATCATCCTTAGAAATATATATAGGAGCCACTGGATTGCCCTCACTAGCACCAAAGAATGTAAGCACCTTCTTCCCTTCATGGTCTGGTAATACTCCACTGAAATCTACTTCCTCAAGTAAAACTTCAACATTGCATTTAGCACCTGGTGTTCCGTGGTTGTACTCCCCTAGGCCACAATGCTGTGGTGTATTAAGTACACCTCCACCTGGTAAAAAGGGGCCGCCAGCAAAAGTAACATTTTTCATTCTAAAGGAAAATGAACCCCCTGGTAACATAACTTTCAACTGTCCATGGACCATATCATTGGGGTCATTTACTATAATGGAATCTTTAACATGATATGCATCAGATTTGGCAAAATTTTTTGAAAACTTCCAGTAGAGGGCGTGCTCATTGTTTACACTTGTATAACGCACAAAAGAAATATCTCCCATAAAGTATCCTCCAACAAAAGTGTTGTGCCAGTCAAACTGATCTTCAATTAAGTTGACATGACCATTATCTGTCCCATCCTCCATAAACTCATCACAACTTGGTTTCGGTCCAAATGGCATTTTAGAAACTAATCCATTCTCATCTTGAATAACGTTTCTTGGATACTGAAAGTCAAAGTAAGATCCAAATCTTTGACAATCATGGAAAACATTTCCTTGTATTTTTCCAAAAGGTGTATGCTGGTTGCAAACAAGCCCATTAGAAAAACCAAATGGTCTTCCATCAGGTTGGGATGCTCCTTCTGTCCATATTCCGTGCTCATGGCCAACAACATGGTTACCAATAACATCATTCTTCATTCCAAACATAAAGATACCCCCTTCTTTTTGGGCAGGTCCTACTCCTAGAGAGTTCTGCCACTCTATTCTACAGTAGAAGATATCATGACAGATAAAGACATTATTACTGATCATATTGTACATTTCATTTCCATCTTCGGTGTATAGTCCAACTCCTCTATTGTCCCATCCAACATTTTTGTCAATCAAGGCCTTGTTTACCCCATGCAGAGTAACAGCAGATTGGTAGGACTCAACAAATGCATTACCCTGATAATAGATTTACAAAATTATTAAACTATAGAATTTTTAAAAAATTGATCACCTCTACAATACAGTCCTTACAATCTCTGATAACATGCAAGTGCACACAGTAACTGCAAAGAAAAATCAAATATTGAAGCCTTTTTATTGTACAAATATATTTAATTTTCTTACCGTCCAAGCACATCAAGTTGGCCACATTGCTCCATTCTAACATATTTAGTTGTATAAATGCCAACTTTTCCAGTAAACACAGGAGCTTCCATAAATGCTCCTCCATGCCATCCAAAGCCTAGAAACAAATATGCAAGTTCTGACAAGAATATTATGATCTGGATTTTACCTGCAGTAAATCTATCACTGTCTCCAGTAATGACAATTGATCTCTCCATGTTTATTACTTCTGCTGCCATCCAGAACCTTGAATATTATTTTATAACTGGATAAACTGAATGATTCTGGAACAGATTACCTGTGACCTTGGATTTCTCTAAACCCTCCCCAATGTACTGACTTAAGTGGAGAATCAAGCTTGACAGAATTAGATGTAATCTCAGTGATTTTATGCAGTGTGGATTCACCTCTGAAAAAATAATTGATAATCTCACTAGGTGTTGACTGCACATTTCTAACAAAAAGGGAAATCTTTTTGCAAACATATTTTGCATTTTGTTCACTTGCAAAAAAGGCGAAAAATTGTAAACATTTTGCAAAAATATACGAATTTTTTTCGAATTGAATTAAATGCAGAGGAAGTATTTTTTATAACAAAATAAACTTTCTAAAGCCTCTCTGAGCAGAGATTTCCACAAGTTCCTGTTAACTGTTGCAGCCTGGACACTTCTAGTTTTTGCAGAATTTTTTTGTTGTGAAAAATTTTGTATTGTTACGTTTTTTTTCTTAAATTATGTTAGCTAAATTTCCCGAAAAAGTGTTCACATTAATTCGTATTATTTTCTGATAGTATTCGTTCTCTGGAAACTATGACTTAAATGACCTGGAGGTAGTTGCAACTCCGATCCTGTCACCCACTCTCCATCCCATGTTAACAGGGTCATCTCTCAAGTACAGTTCAGTGCTTCCAGTTTCATGATCTCGATCAAGCTCACTCCATGTTCTTTCTAGTGGTCTTAACAAAAGAAACAGTTTATAAGGAAACACAATATAGGTCCATAGAGCACTATAAAGTTTTTTCATAATTTCATTAGATTTTGATTCTTATGGTCGGCCGGCAGCCAACACTATTATATTTAAAAATTTTCTTAGATGGGAAAAATTTAAATTGTAAGCCAAATAAAATTTCCGAAAAAAATAGGAAAATTCCTCTATTTTAAGTAGAAATACCTTCCTCTCAAACTTATTTTACCATCTCCAAGAACAGCCAAATATCTCTGGCCCACATTTGGATGAGAAGCTACAATTATTGTTTACTAGTTAAATATGTTCTTAATAAGACTTCAAAATAAATAAAATAATAAAATGAAGGGACTGTAAGCGTAATTTTAAGTGACCTTTCATTTAAAACGGGGCCATCCCAAATTTACAATGCTACCCTCTATACCTTTAACTGATCATCGATCGAGGACAGAGATCTCAATGTGGATATCTCTAAAACGCTGCGTTAAAAGCCGTAAAATTGTTTTGTACTCCATACTATGTGAACTCAACAAGGGTGATGGCCCATTTAATCCTGGAAAAACCAAAATATTCTTTCGTCTGTCTTGAACAAAGAAAATTTTAGATTTTAGTTGTTAAAAATTTAAATGTGAATATTTATATACTACCACTTAAGGAAACGTCTGTCATCCTTGATCTGTAAAATGTTTAAAATAATGTTGCAAATGAATGGTCACTTTAAATTAGACTTACAGTCCCTATCAATGTTCCTACCACCAGGTTGATCATGAGGATCCTTTATGTAGATAGTAGCTTTCTCCATCATTGGGCTCTCATCAGTTCCAAGTTCAAACAATCCTCCTTGCTCAACAAGGAGACCATTGGTCCTAAAATGTTGCACATTCCATGCATGGATATTTTTTACTTTATGAATTTATTTGCTTAAATATTTGCAGGGTTTATTGACAAAACTGAGGATTATATCCATATTTGTTTCTAATATTTATGTTGTCCTTTTCCAAATTATTTTACAAACAAACTGAGATTAAGTTGTATATCTTCATATCTTCACCACTCTAAACTAAGCTAAAAGCCGGGTAGGTAAAGTGGGCGTATGATAGGCCGGGTACTGGAAAATGTCTGGCTGCGCCATCAACGTGAAACTGAGCCAGCATAGGAAAGGGGCGGGGCGGTATCTGCCACAAATCATTAAGGGGTTGTTCTGGTTAAAATTCAAATTGACCCTATAGTCTACCGTGACACCCGCTCAAAAATTCCATCTCAATCCACGCATGGTTATAATTTTAGTTCTTTTACAATAATTCTCTTTTTCAAAAGTATTGGAAAACCTGAGTGTTATGTCAGATTTGGAGGTGTCCCATTTTAAGGTCCCATGAACAGTTATTGTGTTTACATCCACATTCTAAAGAAATATATGACTAGGTTACAAAACTCAAGGGTGCATATATTTGTTTGTGAATGAGTACTGAAGTTTTATTAAGATATTCCATTGAACTAAAACTAAACTAAAATATTAGCCTTTTATATGTGATTTGTGTGTTGTGATTGTAATATTTTATATGTGAGTTGTGAAAACTGGTTTGAAAGATTAGATTTTAGAGTCCTTTCCTAGATTGAAAGTGGAATAATGAAAACCATAAGCAATGTTTTATTAAGTATTACAAAGACAGCAATTTCCATTATTTAACTATTTTCTATTTTGATATATCTTTTGCTACTTAAAACATTGACTTGATTTAAGACAATATGCAAGGTTTTCTATTTTCGTACATTCAAGAAAGTTAAATCATTGATGTGTTCTGGCCTTGGGCACAAAGCTCACTTTCACTTTTAGTATTATTAATTATCTACAAATAACACAAAACTCACAATTTGAATCACTGAAAATAAAGATCTTTTAAAGAATAATTTAACTGCAAAATTACTTAAATCGAATCTAAGTTTCACATTATTGTAAATTGGAGAACAAAGATGATAGATTTTTCTGCATTTTATTTAAGTCTTGTCATAAAAAATATTAAATTGTAAATATATTTTAATCATTAAAGAACAGTATAATTTCATTATTTAGTTAAGATTTTACCTCATAAATATATTAAAAAATTAAATTAAGTATAATATATTATTAACACCTGATTCTCACTCATTATTATTGGTCAAAAGTTTAACTTTTTTGCTTTGATTTACAGCATTGTTAATTTTACCTGGTCTACCATCCATATTTCTCCAGGAGGGATAACACAATCTGCACTGCAGGACTGTATGGACCGATGAAAAGTGTTGTTCACAAATCCATAAACCTCTAATTTATGTTATCATGTTAACAAATAGTTGAAATCTTTCGAAAAATAACTTTTCTAGTAGCCGTTTGTTCTATAACTAAGAACTGAACCTTCCGTTAGTTAACGGTTTTTGCCGTTCGCTAACAGTTTTTTTCGTTGCCGTATGCTTGGATAACAATTTTCTATTAGCACACAGTTGTTTTTATTCACTTTTAAATTTGACAGGAAAAAATTTTTGCGGATTTTTTGTTGTTTTATATGAGTTTAAAAAAAACAAAAAAAACAATATTTCAAAATATTTCAAAAATACCATGCATGAGAATTTCCTGAAAATTTTCATTTTTAAGAAGACAACGATAATTTACATTTTTTTGGCTTTCCCTGTACTTTTTCGAGAAAATTAAAAATTTTACTTAACCTTGATAAGCAAAATTCCCTTAAAGGAATTGAGTATTTGACACAAACCCTGATTTTCTCATCCCTATATCCTTGCAACCCCAAATCGTAGACCTGAGATATTTCAAACTATGACTTATTTAAGATCAAATAATCTAAGTTTGAAATATCAAATGTCTACCATTAGGTGGCACAGATATATGGATTAGAAAATTTGGGTTTGTGGCAAAGACTCAATTCCTTTCCTTCAAAAGTATAATTGTAAATAATTATATTTTTAGAGCATCCTATGATGCACTAGACCTATTTTGAATGGAATCATTGCACTTTAATTGTTTCAATTACCTGATATTATTGTTTCAATTACCTGATATTATTGTTTCAATTACCTGATATTATTGTTTCAATTACCTGATATTATTGTTTCAACTACCTGATATTATTGTTTCAATTACCTGATATTATTGTCAAATAAAAGAGAAATTTCCCGGGTTTCCCCATATTCAGCATTTACTGACATGTTAGGAAAATACTTGTTTTTTCTTATCTGAGGAGATAAAAATAAAAAATATTCCTTAAAAACTTCTTAAAGAATGAGCATCTTAATAAAAACATTTCCTTTTTTCTCGTAAACCTTTTTTAGAAATCAAAGATAAGAAGGCATTGTGGGGGCCATCAATTACAAAACAAACAATCTTTATTAAAGAAACATTTATTTTACCCATCTCCCTCTTTGTTGTATTTTATCTCTAAGATAAGGATACTTAAGAACTAAGTAAAAAAACTGAAGTTACATAATAGTAAACTTAACAAATACTTTTCTGTGAATGTATAATTAAATTTATCAATTATGTGAAGAAGGGTAGACATTTTTTACTCTCAATATTTCTATTAATCTTTTTATTAAAAAACTGGCCTTTAATAAACAGAAAGTTAAGTAGACTGGTACGACTTTTTGACCTTGTAACTCTTCTTGTTTTAATTTTACGCACAAGTATGAAAGGAGAAAATATATTCAGTTGCGTTATTTTAGAAATTTAAAGAATTTTTGTTCTTTTCTCCACCTCAATAAGAAAATGCAAGCTCCAGTCACAAACTTTAATTTTCTAATCATTGTATCTTTGCAACCCGATGTCGTTGATCGTTCGTTCAGTAAAATGTTTTGTTTAATAAAATCGTTCGAAAGTTTTTTTGAAAGTTAGTTCAAAAATCCTTCTTTCAGTAAATTAATGAACGTTTTTCGAGTGAGTTAAAACAAATAGTTCGTTTAAGGAAACAAACAATCGTTTTTCAAAAGTTCATTCTAAAATTTCGCTCGTTAAGGGTCTGGATGATTTAAAAAAATGCAAACTATTATCAATAATTTTAATCAACACCACCGTTCATGAAAAATTTTGTTTGTTTTGAAAATTTCGGTTATTCATAAAAATGATGCCTATCTCTACAAACTTGTTTCTACATAAGTTTGAATCTAATAGTAAGTATAATGTTGTTGACCATAAACCTATCTTCTAACCCCCACCCTCACGTAATGTCGTCTTTACCAGCCCCAAAACCAAACCAAACAATTTCTCCGACTCTACCTCTTTACCCCAAAAAAGAAAAATCGAAACAGTGAAACGTTTAAAAAGTGAAAGATCAAATTCATAAATAACTTTGCAATCCAAAGTAAATTCCACTTTAAAAATCCGAGTTTATATTTTCAGAAGTGTTTACAAATGCTTTAACTATTCCATTAAACTCTCAAATCCTTTTCACTCCGACACAAAAAAACTAGAAAGATATATTATTGAATATTCCACTACATTTATACATTGTCATTTATTTTTACTATACCTGCATTTTATTGCAGGTTTGAAATATATCCATTTATGTGATTATTTGCAGCTTAGTGCCCGATTTGAGGAGCCTAACCAACTAACCAATGAACCAATTAACCAATGAACCAATGAACCAATGAACCAATGAACCAATGAACCAATTAATCAGCTAGTCAACCTCCATATATAAACGCCCCGCCTATGTTTTACAAATACATATACAGCTTTTTCAGAGCAGGAAATGAAGGGCAGTATTTTAAATATAACAATCTTTTTACTTTTACAAGTCAGGAATATATATTTAGGGACCATCAAAATATCTAAATTTCAATCATTTTTACTTATATCATTTTTTTTCGTTCTCATTTGCTTTAAAAAATTGTCATTTTATGAGCTATCATTTATTTACCATTATGAAGTTTTTTTAGCTAGATAAGTTAACGTAAATAAATGGTTTTATGAGGAATAAAATATTTTTGTTAATTTGAAGAGGCCTTACATATTTTTTTCAAATACATGTTTTTAATAACTGATATTTGGGCCATCAGAAGAAACCGCAGTGCTGATTGGTGGCTGGTATGGTAGGAATTTCTTTACTGTATTCAATTTTATAAAGTTGAATTTCTTACTTTATGACGGTGCCAGTTCATGCCTTTATAATATAAAATCATTTTTAATGAATGTGATCATTATTGATAATGAATAACAAAATCTAGGCACTAAAGTTGAATCCTACCCCTGTAAACTTGATGTAGAAGATATTGATACTGATCTGGACGGATTAGGTATCTAAATCAATATCATTCATCATCATCATCATCATCATCATCATCATCATCATTAATAATTCTAACTTTTTTAAAAATATAATTTAAAAAAATATATTTTCAACAATCCATGTTAATACTTTCAGGTGCCACAGTTTACAAAGGACAAATGTACTATTGTGGAGGCTATGCATACAGTTTAGGAAAGTATAGGTAGTACATGCAACATATTTCTTAAAGGGACTGTACACGGAATGACAATTGACCCTTCATTTATTAAAATGAACAAACGGATCATATTTAAAACTGAATAAATTGCGTACAGGTTAAAAAGAAAATAAAAAATAACATAGGACTCATTCACACTAAGCATAGATTAATTAACATATAGAACATATAGAACTCTAGATGTCGTCTTTTCAAGATTTAGGGGTTTTTCGCTCACAATAACCCTGAGGCAAAAGCCCAAAAGAGATACGCGCATGTTGCGTTAAATGACAAGACAAAAATAGAGCATACGCGTAACTCCTTTGGATTTCTGCCTTAGGGTTATTGTGAGCGAAAAACCCCTAATTCTAGAAATGACGACAACTAGTGTTCATCTGTTATTGTTAATTAATCTATGACACTAAGGATCTATCATAATCAACAATACAGCCTAACTTGCATCTGTGTTCTTTTCCAGGAAATCCTGTTGGAGGAACGAAGCTGGATCTTGGAGAGAAGTTGCTGAGATGAATATGGAAAGACAATACTTTACAATGAATTCGGTTGGGGATATAGTTCTAGCAGTAGGAGGGGTTGTGGTCAGAGAGTAAGTACAGGGTTAACAACTAACAGGCGCGGATACAGGATGGGGGGGCGAGTAGTCGAAAACCCTCCCTTTGGAAGGGGGGTCAAGAGTATTTTTTGACCCCTCCCTTTTCTGGAGACCAACTTAAAAGTTTACTGTAGATTTTAAGTTTTGACCAACGCTTTCAGTGATTGATATGATGCATTCCAATTTTAAAAATTAAGTATATCATGATTTCAGCATAGAAACACATTTTAGTTTGTAGTAACATTACAGCGACATCAAAACCATAGTAGGGGTGTACAAATTTATGACATTTTTCATAAACTTTACTAATGCAATATTGCATTCTACTTGGAATTTGTATTGCCATGTTTTGAAAATAAAATGTTTACAATAATCTGAAATGACTCCCTGAACATGGTTGTAATGATAAAAAATGTAAAAAACCATCAATACAGATGAAAATTAAAATTTTATCAGATATTCAATACATGGGTATTTTTGAAATAGGGTTGTTTTCCCAAAATTAAATCAAATCAACAATTTAAAAATATTGCAAATTGGCCGGAAAAACAAAAAAATTTAGACGGAAAAAAACTATTTTTGACCACAGCTCATTCAAATTTATAATATTTTGAACTCTTTGAATTTTTGAACTTCGGTTTCAGTCAGAATTTCAAAATGCTTTTAAAAATTTGATTTTCACTTTATCTTTAAACCTAATCTGAGGGAGTCACTTTTTGTAAAAATTGCATTTTAATATTATACCTAAAAATTCCAAGAAGAATACAATTTTGCTTCTGTAACATGATTTACGAAATATTTCACACAATTGCACACCCCTAAATAATGAGTTATTCTCGACCTAATTACGTGCCATCCTTATATATGCATGTAAATATTTGTTATGTCTAGACGCCTGAACAAAAAATTTGAAAGTGGCAATATTTTACATATTTTAAGAGCAATATGTTATTTTGAGCGCTTAAAATACTCACTTTTAGAGCTAATTCCTTAAAAAGAATGCAAGTGCTTTAAATGAGAGCATGCTAAATTCTGGTTCGCTGAGCAGTGGTTAGCGAGGCACACGGATATGTCATAAACTTAGTTTTTAGCAAGGTTGTATAATAAGGTTAGTTACGCTCGATGCAGCTCCAATGAGGGAGGGAGTCCAGAGTTCCTCAAATAGTAATCACCGCCACCCAAATCTGTTTTGCGGCAAGCGCGCTCCTCAATTGGTAATCTCCACCACCTCTATTAGTAATCACCGTAAAATTTTGTTTTCTGTGATTTGAATTTAATGCACTTTTAACACAATTTTCGACATCTATCGGGGTTTTACGGCATCTGTCTTGACTTAAACTAAATTTTCAAATTATTTTCAGATTTGTTTGGTCAACAAAAACTGAGAATCAAGACACAGTTCATTTTAGCCGAATCTTAGATCCAATTCGCCACTTTAATGACTGCATTTCATGATTGGCGTCAAGATACAAAAAAGGTCGGGCTGCCTGTATACTAAAAATTATCTCATCGCGCCCAAAGTAATATCAATCTCCATTTAAAAGATATTTTCAAAAAACCTTTACAGTGTTTAGATTTTTGTATTCGCCAACTCGAGTTCAACATCTACAACAAAACTAATTATATGCATAGAAAGGACTTAAAATTTACTAAAAATTATCTCATCGCGCCCAAAGTAAGATCAATCTCCATTTAAAAGATATTTTCAAAAAACCTTTACAGTGTTTAGATTTTTGTATTCGCCTACTCGAGTTCAACATCTACAACAAAACTAATTATATGCATAGAAAGAACATAAAAGTTTGAAAAATTAGTCTCATCACACCAACTACTGAAAATTAAGTATTTAGTCTAATAATGGGTTAAAGTTTCCTCATTATATAAGGAGTTTAAAACAACATTCAGAGGAAAATGCGCAAACATTCTTAAAGCGAAACTTGAAACTAAAAAATGTAATATATTTCTAGCACTTAGTGTGGCATATTTATTGATTTATTTTCGAAACTAAGGAGCAATAAAGAAAGCTTTAACAATATTGTACACCATAGGGCCATTAAAAGAGGTCAGTATGGTCTTATTTCTAAGAAATAAACGATTTAATTTTATGCTTTTTTGGGCTGATTACTATTTGAGGTGGTGGAGATTACCAATTGAGGAGCGCGCTTGCCGCAAAACAGATTTGGGTGGCGGTGATTACTATTTGAGGAACTCTGGACTCCCTCCCTCCTCCAATGAACGGAAAATGTCATCTACCAAGATAGAAGGATAAACATGACGTCACTGATTGTAGAGGCGAGAGTGACGCATAGCGGGGTATTTTACGGGGTCATGGGAGGGGAGGTTTTTTTTTGTGTTTCATGGTGAGAATGGACAAACTGAATATATTCTGATAATCTTTTAATTTACAAACATTGTACAGTCAAACCCTTAATAACGAATACATCGGAAGAATTTTTCAAATGTCGTCTTGACAATTTTTCAATGAGTTTTATACTATATTACGGAAATTTCAGTATTTGCGAAAATAAATAAATAGCCATGAATATGCGGAAACAGTTTTAAAGAGTTCCATATAATCATTCAATTAAAAAAATAAATATCTGCAACATTCCATTATCAGAAAGAGAAGAATACGACATTTGAAGAATTCTTTCGATGTATTCGTTATTAAGGGTTTCACTGTATGAATTGTAGCTAGCATTGATTTATAATGCTTTCAATTTATAATTAATGTTCCAGTTTATATATTTATCCTAGAATGGATCCTGTAAACCCGCAATTTATTTATATGTTGTCTTTGTTACAGCGAGCTTTTCGGAAGAGAAACATATATTTTATAGCAAAAGCACAAGAAAGAAGAGGGGTTTTGGGATAATCTAAATATATAAATAGGCTTTAATAACCATATAGAAAAGATTCAGAGGCGCCAGGAGCACGCTGAAACCTTGATTTAGTCATAGTAGCGTGTTAAAAAATCCTATTTTAAGAGTTTTCAATGAAGTAGCGGGTTTTCGGTCGAAATTCTGCACTAAAACATAATATTTAAACAACTTAGAGACTTTCTCCTAAAGAAATGCTTATGCTGCCAAGGTTCATTTGACATAAATAAGAGATTTATGGAATAAACTCATTTTGGCTGACCCCCCTTCCAATACCAAACTGTGTGACGTCATATTCGGTATTTATCTATCTATCTTAGGAGACGACATTTTCCGTACATTGGAGTGCATTGCGAGTAACTAACCTTATTATACAACCTTGGTTTTAGACATCTTGACACAATTGAACAGTTTGATGGAACATCCTGGATTATTCTTAAAGATCGTTTACGATCACCCAGATCCAACCACTGTGCAGTCACCATCAGGTAATTCTTAGATAATCAAAACATATTTTTTGAAATATCTTAATTATTGTTGTTTTTTTATTTTAGTGATTCAGAAATAGTTTTGTTGGGTGGATATGATGGAAAAATCCAAGCTTATGTTGAAAAATATCATACCTTGGACGGATGGACAACCTTACCCAACATGCTAGCAGCAAGGTGAATAATTTTACTGCCTTCTGATTAACATTAGATTAGTGACCCATGCTTCTTCCAGTAAAGGGATGTTAAGTTATCTAATTGGTCTTAAAGACAATTGTGAAAAAATTCGCGCATTTTCATCTCAAAAGACAGTGTTCATCAACTTTTTTGCAAGTATTAAATTTTACTTAACCACTAATTCCCTCGATTAACAATGCTTTAAAAACATTCCTCGCTAATTTCGTGAGTTGTATATAGCTTATGTACAATCTTGAGGAAATAGTAGATTTTTGATGTAAATAAGAAAACGTTTATTAAAGGTCTGACCATGACTGTGTACTTTACGGCGATGAAATTGTTGTTGCCGGTGGAATAACTCCTAATGGAGGAGATAGCGTTGAGGCTCTTAACCTGAAAACTCTTGAGTGGCGCCGCCTTCCCTCCCTCCAGCTTTCCCGAGACTTTGTGAGCATGGAGGTCGTTAATGGAGACTTGATGGTATTTGGGGGATATGGAACAGAGTACTCAGCTGAAGTGTTTGATGGTAAAGAATGGAGAAGAGTAAACCTAGAAGAGGGTCATCTCTACCATAGTTCAGTCACCATGCCGTGTTCAGAGTTTTGAATTTACGACATAAAATAAGTTTTGATTATTTGACATCAATATGAATAAATGAAACATAAATAAACTGATCACTGGGTTTCAATGATAATTTAGAAATGGACTCTTTAAATATTTATATGTATGGATATTCAAGATTTTGGGAAAGGAATTGAGTCTTTGCCACAACATCAAATATTATAATCCCTATATCTTTGCAACCTGATAGTGTAAACTTTTTAAACTTAAAACTTATGTTTTATGATTTATTTGTCAAAATAGTTTGAAATTTTTAAGGTCTGCTATATTAGATTTAAGAAAATCAGAGTTTGTGGCAAAATCTCAAAATTATGAAGTTTTATGGGACAAACATTAAAAAATTAATAAGATGAAAATCTTTATTCCAAAAAATATACAGAACAATATTACTAAAGAATACATAAAAAACTGATTTCTTTAAATTCAAACATTAAAAGTTACATTTTTCCGATAGTACATATACAACACATATATGTAGAGATCAAATCAGGGTATTTAAAATAAAAAGTCCTAAAAGGAAGTGATCAGCAAGGATGGATAGTTGAGCTAAGATTGAATGAAATATTAGGATTGATCATGGTCAGATGTTTTACTCTATAAAATTTGTAAGTAAGGGCGCAAATTCAAATTTTCAGCAGACCTATTGGCATATAGACTATTGGAGAATCCAACCTCATAGCATTCCCCTCATAGTTGGTCACCCCCTTAACAGCAAACTATTAATCTTCAGATTTTTTTTCATGAAATTTTATATATGTAAAAATAAGTGGTTTAATTGCCAAAATGGACAGAAGAGGTTTGAAGAAAATTTTTTAATAAAACTTACAATTTATAGTTTACAAAATATTTTTTTTTATTTTCACTAGGTTACAGTAAATAAATAGGTCAATAAATCCCCCGGTCAATCATCATTACTAAATTCTCATGGGTAAAATGTCTAACTAGAAGTAAAAGCTCAAAACTGTAAACATTTTAATTGCAGGGTAACATCTCCCTACCAAGACATGGAAAGGGGAAAAGGGAGGGGAAGGGGGGGAAGTGGGAGGAAAAGGTGGGAAAGGGGTGGGGGTAGTCAATATTGTTTAATTAGAAATTGTAGAGAATATGTCAACAAATAGCTCTTGTCACATAGTAGCATAGTCCAAAGCTAATGCTTATGGTTTTGGTTTTTTTAAAATTAATAACTTGGACAAATTTCATCATATTTAAGATACAAAAATCTTAAATACGTCAATCAAAAACCATAAGATTCCCTACATAACCCGCCTCCCCCTAGCAATGCACTTTAATTGAAAGGAATTAAATGTTTGAAGGACAAATTGTACACATTAACATACATATTTTTTAAAGCTTACCTTTGGCAAACTTATTCTTTTTACAGATGAAATTTGTACATTGTAGAAAACGTGAAACAAAAAGAACATAATATACATCTTTTTTTACAGTTTTTATTTTTATAATTTTAATACTTAAATCAATTATTTGGTCAGTGTCAATGCCTTTTCAAAATAAAATATGTTTTTCAACATTTTTTTCGACGGATTCTTTCAATTTGTTCAGCTATCAAATTTTATAATTTTAATTCTAATTGTTTAACCTGTATATTAAAGAAAGCCTAGGTATAACTGGACAACATCAGGAGAAAACTGTAATTCGTAAATGTCACTTTTGAGCCGTGATACGATAACGAATTGTTTCCCCCTGAAGTAAGAAAGCTTGTTTTACTAATCACTCGTGTACAATACTGACAATACTAGTTTCATTTTAATATAAGATGAATATTTGGAAGAAATTGATATATTAGATTTCAGTAATTGGCATTGTTTCAAATTCTAACATGCACGTTATTAAAATGATATGGGATGGATAAGGATATGTTGTAATATATAGATATTAATAACTTTCATGTTTAAAGGGACCGTGTGCGTAATTTCAAGTGACTCTATATTTTCAATTCTCACATGGCAATATAAGAAAAAAGGAGTAAAACTATTGAAGCTAGAAGTACGCAATATCTTCCACATTACTGATTAGATAAAGGTTTAATGGCGCGCAGCATTGTGAATAGCCCATTTCTGAATGAAACGTCATCTAATGACATCCCTTTAAAGTAAATGTTGACATAATTCCAAATTCCTTCTGTTCAACAAAAAAAGTTTTCTTCAACAGTTCCCTTTAACCCTTTCTCAGGTGAAACCAACCATATTTGAGCCGCGGCTTAAATTTAAGCTGCTGCTCAAATTCTTTAAATTCGGCCTGAGGTCCCAGGATTAAATTGTGGAAATTTAATGCACTTGTATTAAATTTTCAGAAAAAGAAATGAGTCCTCGAACAATTTTAAATTTTCTAATTCCTATATCTTTGTAATCTGTAAACCTTTGATATTCCAATCTTGGACTATTTAATAGATCTAGCAGAATTCATACTTTGAAATATCAAAGATATAAAACATCTGGTTGCAAAGATATAGAGATTATAGTAAACCATTATTTAGCATGCTATCGTTGTAAATAATTATGGTACAGTTAAAGATTAAGTTAACAGCTAAACTCATATATGTAAACAGTTTTCACGCAATTGAAAAGTTTAAATTTAAGTTTCACATGGATATTTTTTTTGTTGCCATTTCGGCATTTCAAATCTTACATACAAGGAACCATAACATGCTCAGTCATATACAGAAAACAAGAGACTTTTAAAACAAATATTTTAGAACAAATATACAGGAGATCAATACAACAACAAATGTTCCACATACAGGGTACCCCCAGAAGATGAGACTTCAGAGACGACTGTACAGAATTCATTTAGTTCTTTTTACATTCATGGTTTCTTGCAGCTGGTTGTCTTATCCTAGTGCGTAACCCTGTATTTGAGACTGATCATTGTTTATAAGAAGACTGATCCTACCTCAAGATGTATTTCTAACTGATGAGTAGACGATCCTATCTCAAGATGTAATTCTAATTGATGAGTAGACGATCCTACCTCAAGATGTATTTCTAACTGATGAGTAGACGATCCTATCTCAAGTTGTAATTCTAATTGATGAGTAGACGATCCTACCTCAAGATGTAATTCTAATTGATTAGTAGACGATCCTTCCTCAAAATATAATTCTAATTGTAGAATGCACTGTATAGTATAGTACCTATTGTTCACTGTACCGTACTCTGTTCAGTGTACACTGTATTGCACACTGAACTGCACTATGTACAGTGTACACTGTACTGCACACTATACCGCACTCTGTCAGTGTACACTGTGCTACAGACTGTACTGTACTCTGCTTAGTGTACAATATACTGCACACTGTCCTGTACTTAACTTTGTACAGTGTACATTACAATGTACTTTACTTTGTGTACAATGTACAATGTGCTGCACATTGCTTTATTAAGTGTACTGTAATTTCAGTGTACAGTAGTACAGTGTTTTTTGATCTGAAATGATCCTAATTACAAAATCGTTTTTTGTTCATTAAAAATACCAATCGTTTAAAATTGTTTGTTTTAATAACGATTGTTTGTAATCATTTCTCTAAACGATCCAAGTCGTTTGTCCAATTCTTACGTATTTTTCTTCTGAACGACATCATCGTTCACAAACACAATGCCCATCTCTAGATTTAGAAACCTGCACCACTTCGGGTCAACAAGGGGGCCTTAAGTAAAATGTTATCGAAACTCGATTTTACTTTAAAGCTCACCTATCATTGTATGATATTGTTTTTCAAAGAATGACTTACACTACTGTACAGTTTCTAATGTAAATTACGCGCTTCGAGGATTTGTACAGTACGGAAGAATATTTAATTTTCTAATTTCTCCAACCAGTTTTTCGATGCTGTCGAATTCGTTCACGTTCTTCCTTTCTATGTAGAATAGTGTCCTAGAAAAGAATCAAAATTAGAATATTTGTATATATGCAGTATTTGGACAATTCTACATTATGATCAAGTACTACTGCAATTAAGGTTACCATCAAAAATGGATCAAAAATCAAGAAATACATGAATTTATTACATTTTAAGTCAGTTTCCAATGAAACTTTAACAACAAAAAACGTTAACATTAACTTTATTGTTTGAATGTTTGAAGTGGCAACCATCAACTTTGACACATAATTCAGGTTTTTTCCTGGTGTAGCGCGCAATACCAGGAAGAAAGCTTTTTACATCAAAATGATCAGAAGTAATAGAATAAACTGAATTTGCGGATTTTGAATACATTTTTGTGGATATCTAAAGTCAAATTTTGTTGCATTAAATACTTGAGCATAATGTTCAAGACAAGTATGTGATTCATTTTGTTACTTCACGAGAGCTTTTAAAAGAGTTTTCAATTAAATTTCCGTTGCGCGGAATTGGGCGGAATTGTGCTCAAATTCCGCGGAATTGTACGGAAGTGCGCGGAATTTCAGGGCTCGCAATTGCGCCCAAGTTAACTCCGCTTGAATTGGTAACCTTAGCTTTCAGTGAAATCTTTGCAACATTTTTTAATTAAGACTTTTTATTGTCTTACCCAAATAATCTTCTTATTCTTTTTCTCTACCTCCTAACAAACAAACAAAGCTCAAAGTTTTGGTTAAATCACGAAAAAGTGTTAGAATTGACCATAAATAAATTGATATCCTGGTTTTAAAACATTTATAGATTTTGCTAATGAGTTAGAGAAAAATGGTTTAAACATTGAAAAAAAAGGATGAAGGGGGGGGGGTATGCAAAAAAACAGAACAGAGAACAGAAAGTAAAAAAATGGAATTTAAAAAAATGTTGAAGAAAAAATTGAGATTTGTTCCTGAGTAACAAGCATTGCCCAACCAGCGTAGGGCTTAACCACTGCCACCTCCTCCTGAAAACAAAAACAAAATAAATACTTTAAAGGGAGTGCCTGGGTAGAAATGGTAGTTGAGCAGAGAGTGCAGTGATTTTTAAGAGGTTAAAAATCAATTTCAAAACTAAGCGTCCAGAAATGTGCGCTCTTGCTGAACAATTGTACACTGTGTAAACGTCTTATAGGTCTCAAATGTATCCTAACAAATTTATCTACAATAGTGCACTCTCAG